GACTCTCTTTGGGTGGTCATTGAACATGTTAAAATTGCATTCAGTGTACAACATCGGCCTAATAGGATGTATGTAAATGCACTTGCACGTAAAGAAATGGATGCTCATTTTTGGAAATATTTCATTGAATTCACAGTCTATAGTGTGCCGTACGTACCGGTGTGTCGCTCCTGTGCACTTTGACTTACAAGTTCAGTGGTCGTCACCGTGGGTGAGGAAACTATACATTAATTATTGCCCTGTTTGAGATGTCAAAGGACATGAAACTATTTTTGTGTGTGCCATTACATATGTATCAATAGTGGAATTTTATTTTATTAATTTATTTATGGAATAGTCAAAGTGATTTTATTTTTCTACTTTGTACCATTGTAGGGTTTTTTTCCCCTTGGGAATTCCTGGTCAGCGAATAAAATTCTGATGTAACATATCAAGTGTGTGACTGTCGGGTCCCTTTGATGCTGTAGACCTGAATCCCTTTTAAGGAGGGGTTCGACCCGGGGCATCCCCGATCGGCGTGCCGCTTCATAAGCAAACTATGAGATAACTTTAACAGGTGGAAAGGCTTCCGGTAGCACCATGCAAAAGAATATGTCTCTCTTGTGAGTACGTGTGGTTCTAAAAATATTTCCAAATAGGTCACTTGGGAGACATTTTGTAGTAAATTTTTCAACATTAAGGAGTCATTAGGGAGACATTTCAATGTGTCCCTAATACTCCAACTACCAAAAGAAGGAACATTTCTACCGTCCACATTTTGACAGATGATAGATAGGGTCTGAAAAGGAAAACATGCAAAGTTCGGTTCAGATCGGATTGGGGAATATTGAATTATGGGACGGTAAAGTTTGAAATATTTTGTGCACGTTCCTATAGGAACGTCTCCCAAGTGACCTATTTTTGGTAATAACAAGAACCGGCAGTATACTTAACGTTTCGGACTGCGCACGCAGTCCTTCACTACGAATTGCCTGAAATTCCACTGAGATAACTTTACTTACAATCTCCCTCCATCTTTAGCATCTGCGTCCAGGTGGCCATTGATTTGTTGTACTATAAAGAAGGGAACAGAAAAAATAATAATAAAAAAAGAGCTAAAAGTCACGAACAAATTGAATGACGGTTTTGCCCAATTTCATCCAAGTTATTATAAATTTGAATTTCTACTCAAGGAACACCCCCCTTTTATGTAGCTAATCCAGATGGTGTAGAGCAAAGGGTTGATATGGGCATTATAAAACCTCATGTCACGCACACGCGTAATCGTTTACACTGTACGTGCTCTGAAGCCAATTTGTCTACTCCACAGGCTACATGTCGTACATGTATACGAATGATACGCACTCACATACGTGTGTGTAAGTGCACGCACGGGCCCATACACGGGTGGCTTGTTTGCCGTGTGGATTCCGTGCGTGAGGCTAAATTATCCCTCCGGAAAAAAGCCCCTTGGACAATGCTACGTGCAGACTGAAAAGCTCGCAACAATGCTCATTCTCTGTGGAGTGTAAACGATTACGCGTGTGAGTGACATGAGGTTTTACTACATGTATGTCTAGATCGGCCCTTTGCTCTACACCATCTATATAAGATATAGATATTATAGATGAAAATTAATATCATTTGACAAGTCAAGTGATAGTGATTGTTATTTTAATCTATTCGTGTATTTTTTAAGAATTTTCAACTTGCAAAAAAATTGCCTAACCTCATCACTGAAGTATACTTGACATCCTTTATGGATTTGTAAACCCCCCAAAACAGCTCAGCGATTTTTCACCACAATTGCACAACTCTCGTTTCGATTTAAATAAATGTAAACATAAAATAAATTAACTGACAAAAATTGCCCAACTTCATCACTGAAGTATAATTATTTTTGAACAAATTCAAGTACATAGTAACTAAGCTAAAGTCTTTTCAATTAAGTGGCACATTTAGTTCTGCTGGTATTTTTCACAGTAAACACAGTGTTGGTGTTGAACGTTCTTGACTTTGACTATGACATCGAAAATTCAATATTTGTCAGGGCCACAATTGCCTTTCGTTATAACGGTAATTGAAAGCCGGATATTAAATGAAAAGAGGGGAAATACCTCGTTTGATTCGAGACTGTGCAAACTAATATTTTTTGTTTTTATCGAGTAGAAATTCTCATTAATGATAACTTGGATGCACTTGGACAAAACTGTCATTCAAGTATCCTCTTGAAATGGAGCAAAGATTTTTCCTGGTACATTTATTTTGACCTAGATGACTTTGTATTAGGCCCTAATTGCTTATAAAGACACGATCTTGCCTCACTTTTGCATACTGAGGCTTGGCGTGTACTGCTGCTTTAAGTGCAACCTTTGTGTTCAATACCGTTAGTTCAACAGCTTGCAAGAACCACCATCATCATGAATCGATTCATCGTTTTGCTGCTGCTTTGCGCCATTGCAGGTGAGTTGATCATTGTGTAGACTCCGTTGATGTCGTGTCGATTTTGTGGTTGTATGTCAGTTTATCGTATCTTAGTGTTCAGAATATTCAGAATATTCACCTTGCTCTAATCTGCTCAATGGGTCCCTGAGCGAACAAACGACGATAATGTAAAGCTTTACACCCATGTTCGCCTGCACCCAAGACATAGCGCATGCAGTGCACCTCACAGGCTAGGTATCTTTCAGACCCTCGTGTGTACTCCCCGTGAACAATGGAAACTAATAACATGTATATTTGACAATTAGAGAATGCATACGCAATCTGAGATTCCCATTCAGCAGCGAGCCGGTCACGTGACGAGACCTTCCTCACATTCCGTACAATCCCACTCACTGTGTACAACTGGAGAGCAGTTAATGAATGTTCATTTTTGTTCAGAATATGCACATATGTACATACAACAAGGGCGGCAGTAAACACTAGTGACATACTTAGGCAAACCTGAAAGCAAGTAAGTTACTTAAGATTTTACCGGGTAAATTTTACCAATCCTGTGCGAGTTATCCTTTAAACACGATACACTAAACTCGACAAATACAATATTGTGGTAATGTTGCTTGACGCTATGCCTTGGTTGTCTTTACTACAGATCACGCGACCACCACCTTAACTCCTTTAACAAAGCAAGATCTATTAATTATCTTAATATTGTAAGGATAGTATCGGTCCCAATCATAACAGAATCGTACTGTATGTAATTGACAGTGAATAAACTTGTTGTTCTGTTGGTTGCCAGATATCAAAACCCAAGGGGGAAAAACGAAACGTATACCAGACCTAAGCGAACCAACTGCGGTCAGGCTAGCAAACAACAAGGTTGAACAGATCCTTAAAATCAACGCAATTTGGGATAGAGGTCACAGGGGCGTGCAAGCGTGAAGGCCTCAACCATACCAGACCAAATCTTTATTATACCCTCTCTTGACCGCTCGACCGTTACTATAT